TAGCAAAATAGAAAAAAATACCTCACCAGATGGACTCACTTTCTCTTTTCACTTCCTTCTGGAGCATCCCGATTTCATCAGCCTAGGGGCTGCCTGTTTACCATGGGCTTGAAGCACTTCCCTTGGGTCTATCAGGGATTTTGCGATATCCCTGAGACCAGTAAGGCTTTGTCTTCCAGCAGCAAAAGTGTCAACGGCGGTCTCAGAATATTGAGACCGCACATTGTAACATCGTAACGTGGCTCCTCCTCCCGCCCCCAGAAATACAATAGCAATGTACACCCTACAGTAGTTATTGGCTATGTTGAAATGTATAAAAACATGGAACTGTCGTTGAAACACATTCAGTACATCAAATAAACTAGAATAACTGTGGAGATCTAAAAGTAGCGGCCAGCTTCTTGGAATGCAGGCAGTAATCAGAACTAGGAAGTGACAACTAACCAACACATTAAATTATAATTTTATGCTTCCTTGTGCAAACTATATAAAAAACTTGATGTAAATGTGATCTAGGGCTTCACTTTTGCCTTTTGCAAAACACCTTTTGCTTCTGTGCAGAAATACAGTCCTCAACATGACAACTGATCCCAAAATTTCTGTTGCTAAGTGAGACATTTGTCAAGTGAGTTTTGCCTTGTATCTTTCCTTGCCAAAGTTGTTAAGTGAATCACTGCAGTTGATAAGTTAGTAACCCAGTTATTCAGTGAACCTGGCTTCTCATTACTTGTGAGAAGGTCGTAAAAGGTGATCACATGACATTGGAACACAGCAAAGGTCATAAATATGAACCAGTTGCCAAGCATCTGAATTTTGATCACATGATCATGGAGAGGCTGCAAAGATTGTAACTGAAAAAATACATATTTCACTGCTGTTGAAACTCGTCACTAAAAGACATGTTGTAAACCGAGGGCTACTGGTATTTGGATTCCACTTTCCTCCACTGCTTGATTAATTGGCCCATTGTACCAGGTAAACGAAGTCAGGTTTGGCACCTGGCCAACACGCGTACACCCAGACCAAGGACGTTCTGGCATTAGTACTACTTTTGCATGGTCTAGGGCAGTGTTTCTCAACCTTGGCAACTTGAAGATGCCTGGACTTCAACTCCCAGAATTCCCCAGCCAGCGAATGCTGGCTGGGGAATTCTGGGAGTTGAAGTCCAGGCATCTTCAAGTTGCCAAGGTTGAGAAACACTGGTCTAAGGAACAAACGCCTTTCAAAGATTAGAATGACTCAGGCGTGTTAGCCCCTCATAAGACCCTGAAAACCTAGCTATTTTCTCAAGCCTTGGATGGTGAATGTGTTAAGAGCCATTGAATAGATAGATGGATAGCTAGATC